ATGGAAGTGTCTAGATAGGTTAAATCTGGGAAGCGTTCGGATAGGGTTAATCTGGGAAGTGTTCGAATAGGTTAAATCTGGGAAGTGTTTGGATAGGTTAAATCTGGGAAGTGTTTGGATAGGTTAAATCTGGGAAGTGTNGAAGTGTTTGGATAGGTTAAATCTGGGAAGTGTTTGGATAGGTTAAATCTGGGAAGTGGTTTGGATAGGTTAAATCTGGAAAGTGTTCGGATAGATTAAATCTGGGAAGTGTTTGGATAGGTTAAATCTGGGAGGTGTTCGGATACGTTAAATCTGGGAGGTGTTTGGACAGGTTAAATCATGGAAGTGTTTGGATAGGTTAAATCTGGGAAGTGTTTGGATAGGTTAAATCTGGGAAGTGTTTGGATGGGTTAAATCTGGAAAGTGTTTGGATAGGTTAAATCTGGGAAGTGTTTGGATAGGTTAAATCTGGGAAGTATTTGGATAGGTTAAATCTGGGAAGTGTTCGGATACGTTGAATCTGGGAGGTGTTTGGACAGGTTAAATCATGGAAGTGTTTGGATAGGTTAAATCTGGGAAGTGTTTGGATAGGTTAAATCTGGGAAGTGTTTGGATAGGTTAAATCTGCCCTACTACTTTCATCAGTCTTATCGACTATGTGCATATATGTAATGAACCATTCTATATCTTTCTAACGCCAATATAAGATGCAATCTTATGATTATGGATTATGTAATTTACGGTGTAATATTGTACATGTTTTTAGTGAAGTGTTTCATAAGTCTTTTATATAGGCTGGGCATTCAGTTTGTTTAGTTCTGATGTATTATATGTTGTAATTTTACTGAGTGTGTGACACTATAATAAAATAATGTCTAGCGGATCTTACCTATGTATTTTAAGAAGTCTTGAATATATTTGTTTTCAGATCTACATTGGTCACCGACGTGAAGCTCTCACTACGAAAATGCCGCCCAATGTGTCACAGCGACCAAATGTGAGCCATATTGCGGAGGGGAACAAAGTTGTGTTCCTAGACGGATCCGAGGCGGACATTGATAGCATAATTCTCTGTACCGGATACAGCTTTGACTTTCCGTTCTTTGCTGATGACATCATACAGGTACAGGAAGAAAGGGTGACGCCTTTGTACAAGCATTTAGTACATATAGAATACCCGAACCTTCTATTTGTGGGGCTTCCGAAATGTGTGTCTTATTTCCGTCAATCACATGAACAAGACAGGGCGGCGGTTTCTATCCTGGAGTGGAACGTCAAGCTTCCATCAGAACAGGAAATGTTAACTGACGCCGACCAAGACTTCGGTCAAAAAAGAAAGGAGTTCAACATGACAGAACTGCACGCTCACTACATGGGTAAGGGTGATCTTCAATGGCGATTGAACGAAGATCATGCAAATCTTTGTGACTTCCACAAACTGCCAAAGGTTCTCGCCGACATGCTGTGTAGTGTCCAGATTTCTCGATCAGCAGACTTCGGAACATTTCGGAAGATAAACTACTTCTACAAACACTCCAATTATTTTGGAATTAGAAGATAAAGTGTTACAATGCAACTGAATTTAATTTAGTGATGATTTATGATAGCTTTCTGGTTCAAGATCTCATACCCTCTAAACCAGACTCAATACATGATAATTGTTATAATATGAAGTTTTTTAAATTGTAACGACTCTTCTGTTCATAAATTAGCTTTGAAGGTATAAAATAAATTAATGCTTTTCCAGTGTTTATCCAGTTCATTTTGAAACAGTTTAAAATTATTAGCACATACTACATTTTCCTGTAAGTTATTCCACACATTTACAGTTCTCAGTAGAAAAAAACCCTATTTTTCCTCTTCATGATTGTACACTAATTAAGTTAATATAAATGATTATAATCAATATAATCATTACTGATTTGTTGTACGATAGTTTGATTCGTAAATACAATAGACAATTTTTGTATAGTATTGATATAAAGCTTGCCTGATTAAAGAATATCCGGAAGATGTACCTTATACTTGATGTGAACAGATTAGCATTATATCATTTTTATTATCCAAAGGGAGATAACTCGTATGTTTCGATATCGAGTGGAATGACGTGTGAATAAGGGATGTCGTTGTTATTTTTGGCACATTGAGGTCAGATATTCTCCAATGCTTTGTTTAGGAAAACGACGAACATGTGTTATTTTTATGTAAAACTAATGGTATAAATATATGAAGCGTGCATTTAGATCTTTGATCGCTGTTTGTTTGTAGCTACATGTAAATCTTAATTCAAATCTGGTAGAGACTTCGTGGTTAACAATAAAAAAACTCAGCATTCAGTTTGCACTGTATGAGTCTAACTAAACGGGCCTCGGGAAATAATTTCACTTGATTCGTCCCACCACCTCGGGAATATAGTATACAGTTATAAAATGCGTATGAGGGATTAGCACATGTATGGTCCCCCGAGGTGAAAACTATTTCCCGAGGCGGTGGAATAGTTTTTCACAAAGGGTGACCATAAATTTGATACGACGATGCATACAGTACTTCCAATTGTATTCTATTCTCTTTGAAATTGTAAAAGGAATTGAATAGATTAATTCATTTGTTAAATTGCCGTTAATAATTTGTTTCGTTATAATAAAACAGTTGTAGAATGGGTAATTCGGGAAACAGCAAATTTATAGTCAGCCTTGTTCATCGACGACTTCGCCGCCTCGGGAAATAGTTTTCACCTCGGGGACCATAAATGTGCTATATCCCTTATACCCATTCTATAACTGTATACTGTTGCCTGAAAAGGCATGAAATATCTGTTTTGTGACCTGTACTTTTGACGGCAATACACGTGTGATAACAAAAAAAGACATTTTTTAAAATTATTTTTATCAAAATGTCCATTTGATGTTCAGCTATTCCCTCGTGCGTACCTGTGCATTTACTAGGTAACACGAATATTTGTTACCTGGTTCTCTATTCCTCATTCCCTCGGTGCTGGGATGAATCCGGTGAACTATTTCCCTTGGCCGATGTAAGTCTTCGCATACAAACAAAATTTAGCTTCTAGGATCTATGATCGCATGTCCTAGTGGTAACTTTTAAGGACTGAATTATCCAGTTGTCAAAGCGTACAAATCGAAGGATGCTAGACAAACGGCATGTGCGCATTTTTAAAACATGTATATAGTGGATAGTTTGTGCATATATTGTTGCAGTATATAAAAATAACACTGAAAACTGTGTGGTATAGACCGGACTTCTCATTTAGTGTTAACGTAAAGGGGAACGGCCGAACACTTTGCATCTTTTGAGCAAATGAACAATTCGAGGCCCGTAGGGCCGAGATCTGTAATTTTTCTGACATAATTGTCAGTTTTAGGCTATTCTCCTACTTAAAATGGACACCTTTGCGTGTTAGGAATGTACCAGTAATGAAGTTAACAATGACCAGGCATTTGTGTGTATGTAAGCATGAGCTATATTGCCATTCATGTGTAATAGGACCAGGAATAGTGATAAAGATAGTGCCGTCGCCGGGGCTCGAACCCGCGACCATTGTCTCTCCAGCCCGATACTCTACCGCTAAGCTAAAGGAAAATTGACGCTTGTAAGGCAACCTAATCAATGCACGTCTTTTACACATGCATGACTCCATATTATTAACTGAATTACAGGACAGGTAGAGCTAGAGTTACTATATTTGGAAATGCAGATGATTTCATGTCCTAATACAGATATAGTGAATCATGGACAGTTCACGGGAGATCAACTGATTCTCAGGAGATGACAATATGACTTTCTACATCATTTAGGAAGATTTTTATTATAAAGACATGATGATTAATACAATACATGAAACAGAGAACAACAATGAAAGTGAAATAACATGGCACTTAGATTGCGTGCATTATGATGAAAATAGAAAAAAATCTGAAGCAGAGGGTAACCTCAAGTTATACATAAACCACAAACGGTGGCTGTTAAATGATAACACTTCCAGGAAATGCCTACTATATTTGTGAAACACCAGGAAGTGTTTGTAGGGTTAATTCTACTTCCAAGTAGGCGTGGGGATCTATAGTGTAATGGATTCTTCATGAATAAGGATTCCACCAGTATTCTAATTACTGGATTACGGTATTCCCCCCATCAAGTTTTAATAATAATAATAATTCGAAGTTCTTATATACCGCTTTATCACAACCTTGTTCGTAGGTCGCCTCAAAGCGGTTCACAAAATATTATACGTGGTTATATAGGGCCTTTGCAGCCATCTAATATATTTCTCAAATCCCTGGGGAGCATACAGCCGGTGTTGCCATTTCGGCACTCACAGCTAGCAATCTACATTTCTAGCACTGTCCAACCACGTACTCATTTACAGCTGAGTTGACTTGAACAAGCGGAGTAAAGAATCTTGTTCAAAGATACAACACAGTGCCGTGCCGTGAGTCGAACCCGCAACCCTTCAGTCACTAGCCCGGCGTCCTACCACTAGACTACCTCCATGATACGTTTCAGTTTTCCGTTGGATAATTTGTTCTCAATTATATTTTTCCTCAATAAAATTCAACGGTGGATATGATCAGCTGGATTAGCTAAAGATCAAGTATAACTATCTGTGGTGTTACGATGGATTATAGAGGCAACATCACCTACCAACAGACCTAGGAAAAAAATTAAAATAGCGAGGGGTAAATCTGATGGACCTGATCTGAATGTCACCTTTGGCAAAGGATCAGAGGACCCGACAAACCGGTTCAACGTCCTACTAGATTTCGATGATGAGATGGAGACGAATGCCTCAGCGCTTCGTGCTTCGACTCCATCGAAATCCAGCCAAAATAGCAAAAGATAAATAATACAATTATCCAATGGAACATCCGCGGATTAAAGGCAAATATAGAAGAATTTCAGAATCTATCAAAAGAATTTAGACCCGCCATTTTTTGTCTACAAGAAATCATGCTCAAAAACCCAATCACGCTTAGAAATTTCTCACTCTACACTAACATTCCAACTGTAGTTAGCAGAGCAGCAGGTGGCGCAGCGGTAGCTGTCCATAAAAATATTCCTCACAGAATGATCAAGTTAAACACAAATTTACAGGCTGTTGCTGTCTGTGCAACATTACACAGACAAATAACCGTCTGTTCAATTTATCTCCCTCCGAGTATTGTTTTCACTTGTGAGCAACTCAATAATCTCGTCTCCCAGCTCCCAACACCATTCATAATCCTCGGTGATTTTAATGGTCATAATAGCCTGTGGGGCTCTCCCAACACAGACGAGAGAGGAAGACGTATTGAGGAATTTATAGATAAAAACAACTTGTGCCTTTTTAACAACAATACCCCTACTTATTTACACCCTGCTACAGGCTCTCGTACCCACATTGATCTATCATTATGCCATCCATCCATTTTACTTGACTATGACTGGAGGGTAAATGATGATCTTTGTGGGAGTGACCACTTCCCAATTTTTCTTCAGAATATTGGGACTCCTCTTGATGATCCTCTACCTCGATGGAATATGCACAAAGCAGATTGGGCCCAATTCCAACACATGTGCATTGAAAAACTAACCATAGACAATTTTACTAACCTCGACGACCCTATCAAAACTTTTACTGAAACACTCACTTCTATTGCCCAAAAGACAATTCCAAAATCCGCTCCAAAACCTACGAAGTTCCTTTTATCTGAAGAATCTTTTAAAACACGCAGTAATCGGGCAGCTGCTCTAAGACGCTACTTCAATTGCCCAACTGCTTCAAACTACAGTGAATTTAAAATTTGGCGGGCAAAGGCTCGGCGATCAATTAAAATTGACAAAAGAAACAGCTGGAGAGAATATGTATCCAAGATATCATCAAACACGTCCTCAAAAAAAGTATGGGATATGATTCGGAAAATAAGTGGGAAAAAGAAAAAGGCAACATCCTCCCACCTCATTAATAAAAACAAAATTTTCTCGTCTATAACTGAAATTGCTGATGCATTTGCAAAAAACATAGCTAAAAACTCATCCCCTTTAAACCACTCCCAAAAATTCCAGTCTTTGAAAAAAAAGAGAGAAAAGAAACGGCTCAATTTCAAATCATCAAACAAAGAAAGTTATAATGAACAATTTACCCTACCAGAACTTGTTGATTCGCTTAGAAAATCACAGGACACTGCTTCAGGTCCTGATGATATTCCATATCAATTTCTAAAGCACTTACCGGACTCTTCACTAACATGCCTTCTTTACATATTCAACCAAGTTTACGCTTCCGGAAAGATTCCCGATTCGTGGAAGAACTCCACAATTATACCTATCCCAAAACCGGGAAAGGATGCTACTGACCCAAACAACTATCGTCCTATCTCTCTGACTAGTTGTGTATGTAAAACTTTAGAACGAATGATAAACACTAGACTGGTTTGGTTTCTTGAGGCCAACGATATAATATCCCCTCTTCAAAGTGGCTTTAGAAATAGAAGAGGGACAAATGACCATCTCATCAGATTAGAGACGTTCATTCGAGAGGCTTTCGCCAAGAAAGAACACCTTGTC